GCACTGACCTCAGCTCTAACTACACCCACCTATGAACCTCCCCTCACGTCACCCATCTCACATGAAGGGACTGAGGCTCAGGGGTCAGTGTGGTGGAGTCTGTTGGCACCGAGAGCAGCCTGGGCTGTGTGCCACCTGCCCCAGGACCTGCCCCCGGACCTGCCCCAGGACCTGCCCCAGGACCTGCCCCCGGACCTGCCCCAGGACCTGCCCCAGGACCTGTCCCAGGACCTGCCCCCGGACCTGCCCCAGGACCTGTCCCAGGACCTGTCCCAGGACCTGCTCCAGGATCTGTCCTAGGACCTGTCCCAGGACCTGTCCCAGGACCTGCCCTAGGACCTGCCCTAGGACCTGCCCCAGGACCTGCCCCAGGACCTGCCCCAGGACCTGCCCCAGGACCTGCCCCAGGATCTGCCCTAGGACCTGCCCCAGGACCTGCCCCAGGACCCTGCCCCAGGACCTGTCCCAGGACCTGCCCCAGGACCTGTCCCAGGACCTGTCCCAGGACCTGCCCTAGGACCTGTCCCAGGACCTGCCCTAGGACCTGCCCCAGGACCTGTCCCAGGACCTGTCCCAGGACCTGCCCTAGGACCTGTCCCAGGACTTGCCCTAGGACCTGCCCCAGGACCTGTCCCAGGACCTGCCCCAGGACCTGCCCTAGGACCTGTCCCAGGACCTGCCCCAGGACCTGTCCCAGGACCTGCCCTAGGACCTGCCCCAGGACCTGCCCCAGGACCTGCCCCAGGACCTGCCCCAGGACCTGCCCCAGGACCTGTCCCAGGACCTGCCCCAGGACTTGCCCCAGGGGGCTCCGCTCACCACAGGAAGACACCAAGAGTTAGCTGCTATTGTAAGATCTTGCCTTGATCTGATCTCATATATAGCCTTGTTTATTCTCTTCATATTTTTACAAAAGGGTCAAAACCAGTGTGCACCTTCTGAACAGAGGGAGGAGTTGAGATTAGAACCAGCTGCATAAAAACTGGGGTCCTGGACTACTGGGACCCTCCACTGCTGGGGTCCTGGACTCCTGCAGGGAGGAGGTGTTGGGATGCTGGGAGCTGAGAGTCTTGGAAACAGCATTTCTGCTGGATGTCGGTGGTCACAGGGCCACTGTCCTGCACGCCCAGTGTTCCCTCCTCTGCCTTCCCTCTCATTTCCCACCTCAGCCTCCACACACAGGCCATCCTTAGACTTTCCTCTTCTTGGTTAAATAAATAAACAAGGAAAAAAGGTGGGATATTGTTGTTACATCTACATTTTAAGAACATGATATCCTAACATTTTTCTTCTGGGGTTTCACAGAAAATGGCTCGGAATCTACATAAAGATATCATAAAATAAAGAGATATCTGACTTTATGTCAAAGTTTAAATAATTACAGAAGTAAAATATATGGCTGCTTTATGAAAATATATTACAATTACTGTAAAAATTAAACACACCTTTGCATATTTATAGCTTTTCTGGGGGAGGACCCCAGTAGTGGAGGACCCCTGTTCACTAACCACATGGTAATAATATTTGCATTTGCTACATCAAATAGAATCATTATGAAAAATAACTGATTGAATTCTGGAATGTGCACAGAACTCCATTCCAAAAGGCTGCAATGCTAATAAAGGCCACCGTATTGTTACTTTAGATTTGCAAACTATTGAACTCATTGTGCGTAACAAAGCAGAACAGAAGCATCTTCCTCTCTGCTCCACCTGTATTCATTACCTGCATTAGAAACATTCCTTTTCTTTTGTAGCTTTTCTGGAAGCTTTGTATTTTTGGGTAAGGACAGGTACCGGGAGGCTGATGTGGAAGCCTGCACAAGATACAGAAAACCTTAGACTATGCAGATGGCATTCACTAGAAGTTTAAACTCTTATGACAAACTTTATTAAAATGTAACATGTTAGTTCTCCATGCCAAAATTACTTTGTGAGGGGCTTTAGGGATGGGGAAGAAAATCCCTAGCAATAATTATTTAATTTAAAATCACTAAAACTCTTCTAAAATATAGAAGAAGCCAGGAGAGAAAAAAAGAAAAAAAAAGGGAAATAAAGTGGGACCATTTGGAACAAGATGTGAAAACCACTGTGTTTTCTCAAGGAAAAGAGACCGAACCACCTATTTATGACAATATTAGTGAAAAAGCCTTAGAACAGATAGGTATGCAGAAAAAGATAGATTAAAAATTGTAGCATATTTTAATTTTATTTACTTGAATGTCTTGAAAAATGATAGAACAAAAAGCATTACTATAGCTAATTTGTTGACATTTTCATTTCCATTGTCTTTAATTTCCTTAATTTTTAATCAATGCTGTCATATTGAACACAAAGATAAAGATAATTTTGTTCAAACATAAAATTTTTATCTCCGATAACCAAATACAGAATATTATAAAAAATAAGACCTGGCTGGCTTGGCTCAGTGGTTGAGCATTGACCTATGAACCAGGAGGTCACAGTTTGATTCCTGGTCAGGGCACATGCCTGCATTGCGGGCTCGATCCCCAGTGTGGGGTGTGCAGGAGGCAGCTGATCAATGATTCTCTCTCATCATTGATTTCTCCCTCCCTCCCTTCTATTCAGAAATCAATAATATATATATATATATATATCCATATATATAAAATCGAGGGGCCGTGACAACCGAAATGACCAGACGACCTAACAGCAGGCTGCATGGGGCGACCAGGCTGGCAGGGGGTTCATTGAGGGACGACCAAATGACTGAACAGCAGGCTGTGTGGGGTGACCAGGCTGGCCAGAGGAGCAGTTAGGGGCAATCAGGCCGGGAGGCAGAGGTGGTTAGGGGTGATCAGGCTGGCGGGGGGGGGGGGGGGGAGGCAGTTAGGGGTGATCAGGCAGGCAGGCAGGCAGGTTAGTGGTTAGGAGCCAGCGGTCCAGGATTGTGAGAGGGAGTCAGACATCCCCCAGATTGGAGAGGGTGCAGGCTCGGCTGAGGGGACTCCCCACCTGTGCACGAATTTCGTGCCTGCCATGTTCCAAGTGCACCCCCTGGTGGTTAGCGACTGCTTGTTCGATTGTTCTGCCATTTGGTCTATTTGCATATTAGCCTTTTATTATATAGAATTTGCTTATTCTGTCTGTTGGTGACCACATTCCCCCTGATGAGAATATGAATTCTACAAGCATAGGAATCTTTCTGTTTTGTTTACCAATGTATCCCCAGTGCCTAGAACTGTGTGCAGAACACAATAGGTGTTCATGAAACCTCTGAAAGACTTTTAAATACCCTCTCTCCCAGAATTCCTGCGAATCAGCCCTCAGCAGAGCCTCCAGAGCCCCGGCGCCCTTACCCTGCGCTCCCGACTCAAGCTGCTGTCTTTCCGAATGCTCTCTCGCAAGCTGTGCCTTCGGCGGATGAGAATCTCCTTGGCTTGTCTCTCACTTGTGTCAGCCGTCAGATTGTGTCTGTTGTATGACAAAGTCTGAAATAAAAACACAAGTGCCACTTTACAAAAACAACAACAAAAAACTGATCACGGCTCCAGAAATTCCGAAACTTTACTACGTTTCTTTGGCACAGCATCTCAGTGAGGTACTTAACAGCCAATGTGCAGAGAGAAAAAAGTATGAAAGGTGACATTCTTTCACATTTTGAAAGAATTAGTCTTCTAATAAAGCCAGTGAATAAGTTTTTCTCCCCATTGGAAAGTATGATCTTTATAAATGAGAAAATGATTGAATATATTGAGTGCCTTTGTCTACCTTGAAGTACCTTGTATGTATTTACCCATCATTATCAGTTGGGGAAAAAAATACAAGTCCATTTTATTCATCCTCCATGGAATAGCAATTACTGGTATAAAAACAAACCACTTTGAGACACTTGGTGGTGCCATGTCCTCTGATTAATCAATAGAGGCACAGTTCTTTCCAGTGGCTGAAGGCTGAGCAAGCTGCTGTTACCGCCTACAATGCTCATGACCTCATCTTTGAAGCTGTGAAATGTCTCAAGGTGGGCTGTCCATGGCAGACATTTTAGTTTATAAGCTATATAGAAATCTGTTCCTAAAACAAATTGTAATTGGTAATTAGGCTCATTTTCTGATAGAATTAATGTACACTTCTTGGAATATTCCTGTGTCCAGGCTGTATTAGGCCTAGTGGAAATGTGCAGAAGTAAAATAGAACAGGGCTCAATTCCCGCCTTGGGAAATGTGCCATTGAAGGCTAACAAAATAATAGAATCATGAAATTAAGTACTAAACGTATATGGTACAGCACACGCTCATTTAAAAACAAGGTTGGGACTAATATGTAAGGTGTTGGGGAACCTTAAAAATGGAAGAATATGGATCAATGGAGCTGACAGGAAGCTGACAGGGAAGAGAGCCCCCCAGGCTAGGAAGGAAGACAGAACCTGTACTTCGTGAGGGTTTGGGGTGGATGTTGGAGGGAGGGAGGCGTGGAAATAAGGATGGAAAAAGTGGAACCTGGAAATGGAGATCCCAGGTTCTGAAAAATCAGTTTAGCCTGGAAGCCACAATTGTTTTGTTTCATTTTTTGAATGCTGGGCACTTCCAAGCCCAATACAAAGAGGAGGAATCTACAGATCTCTCAGTAGCTCTTGCTGGGTGGCCCCAGTCAGTGGCTGACTTTGCACCTCCCTGGAGACCCAAGTGCCAGTGTACCCAGTGGTCAGTATGAGACCATAGCAGATTACAACCCTACACATCCATAAGTGACACTCAAGGGGCAGATTCAGTGAGCACCAAAGCCCCACTGAAGCAAGTCCTGCTCCATAGGGGTGTCTCCTGCACAGCAGCTCTCCCATTGTAGTCACAGCTGGTCCTCACAGCCAGTTGGCCTGGAGGTCAACTCCTCCCAGTGAGGCCAACAGCAATCAAGGCTCAACTACAACAAGGTTGTACTCACAGCCCACAAAGGGGTGCACCTACAGTGCCCAGCTCAGGTGACTGGGAGGCTGAGCCACTGGGCCCTATAGGAGACCTACTACACAAGGCCACTCTACCAACTCCAGGAGACATAGCAGCTCTACCTAATACATAGAAACAAACACAGGGAGACAGCCAAAATGCAGAGACAAAGAAACATGTCACAAAAGAAAAAAATGGAAGAAAGAAAATTACTGGATACACAGTTCAAAACCACGGTTATAAGGTTACTCAAAGATCTTCATGAGACCTTCAAGGGACTTAGTGAGATTTTCAAGGATCTTAGTGAGAATACGAAATGGACCAGTCAGAAATTAAGCATACACTAACTGAAATAAAGAATAATTGACAGGGATTCAACAGTAGAGTAGAGGATTCTGAGAATCAAGTCAACAGTTTGAAATATGAGGAAGCAAAAAACACCCAATCAGAACAGTAAAAAGAAAAAATCCAAAAATATGAAGATAGTGTAAGGAGCCTCTGGGACAACTTCAAGCATACCAAGAGTCACATTATGGGGGTGCCAGAAAAGAGAGCAAGATATTGAAAACCTATTTGAAGAACTAATGACAGAAAACTTCCCCTACCTGGTGAAAGAAATAGACTTACAGTCCAGGAAGCGCAGAGAACCCCAAACAAAAGGAATCCAAAGAGGACCACACCAAGACACATCATGATTAAAATGCCAAGGGCTAAAGAAAAAGAGAGAATCTTAAAAGCAGCAAGAGAAAAGCAGTTAGTTACCTACAGGGAGTGCCCATATGACTGTCAGCTGATTTCCCAACAGAAACGATGCAGACCAGAAGGGAGTGGAAAGAAATATTCAAAGTGATGAATAGCAGGGACCTACAACCAAGATTACTCTACCCAGCAAAGCTATCACTTAGAATTGAGGGTCAGATACCCCGCGCTCAGCTCTAGCCTATGTTCCCTCTTTCATCACCATCTCCCCTTGGAGACTTTGCAAGGTTCACTTTTATCATGTTTCTCATCAGAACCCAGCAAAGGCTCTCTGATCTCTGCCAGAGAAGTTCAGGGTCTTGCCATGGCCTCAAAGGTTCCTAACATCTTCTTCCTCCTGGTTTTCTGCCCTTGTTCCCTCAGTTCTGCCAACACTCAGCCCCCAGCCGTGCCCGCCTCAGCCCCTGGCTCCCTGCCCGCTGTTCCTTCAGGGTTTGCTGAGGAGCCCTTGTTTGAGACCACATCCCTCTCAGGGGCAGCTGGGCCAGGACCCCTGCGTGGGCGTCACGCAGAGGAGGCAGCTGCTCACTCTGTGCTGTGGCCTCGAGGCCGCTCAGCACTCTGACTGAAGGGCTGTCTGTGATCACGGAAGTATGTTTTCCCTCCTGTTGGCTGTAACTCCTTGTGGGCGGGGACTGTCTTCTTACTCTCCCTGCACCAAGAGCAGTGCTGGCACAGGATAGGTACTCGGCTGGTGCTGCCTGCTGGGTGGCCACCTCTGCTGGATGGGAAGCCCCTGGCAATACCTGCCCAGTTCCAGGCTCCAGAGTTGCTGACGGTTTTGTGGTGTGAGCACACAGGCAGCTTATGGCCTTCCCTCCTCCCCAACACAGGCTGTGCTGTCTTCAGGGCACCATGAATGCCATCATCACCCTCTGCCACTTCTGTGAGCTCCATGGCCGCCGCACTCTCTTTTGCACGGAGGTTCTGCACGCCCCTCTTCTGAAGGGGCCTGGGGACAGCCCTGGCCAGGGGGAGCAGGCCGAGGAGGAGGAGGGTGGCATCCAGATGAGCAGTGGGATCTGCACGCACTGCCCAGTGGAAGGGGCCAGCACGGAGTCCAGCAGCCTGGGACCCAAGAAGTCGGACATGTGTGAGGTCTGTCCTGGCGGTGAAGGCCCTATCTTCTTCTGGGACGAGCAACATGGGTTTGTGTTCAGACACACCTTCTTCATCAAAGACAGCCTGGCCTGGGGCTTCCAGCGCTGGTACAGCATCACCACGATAACGATGGACCACATCTACCTCCAGCTCCTGGCCCTTCCTGCTTGGGGACCTGCAGGATCATCAGTGAACTCCAGGACAAGGAGCTCAAGAGCAAGAGGCTTGAGGGGCTTCAGGTTCAGCTTTCTCTTGGCGAGAGCACATGACGGCTCTGTTCTGAGGCTCCTGAAGGCGTGTGGCAGCCGCTGACAGAGAAGCTCCTAGTGGGGCCCCTCTGCCCATCCCCCTCCCTCCCCCAAGACACCTTGGTCCAGATGGAGAAGCTCGTGGATTTAGAAGAGGAATCAGAAAGCTGGGACAACTCTGAGACTGAAGAGGAAAAAGCTTCTGTCTTGCCAGAGGGTGTGGAAGGGCGGGAGCTGACCAAATGCCCCACAGGTTCCTCCTCGCTCTCAGACTGTGAGAGCTGGCAGCCCCGAAAGCTGTCCCTGTAAGTCCCTTTGGCACATGAAACAGCAAAGGTCCTTTTCAAATTCAGCAAGGTCTTCAGTCAGCCCAAAGAGGACACACAGAAGCTCCTGAGTATCCTTGGAGCGTCTGAGAAGGACAACGGAAAACTTCTCAAGTTCTGGATGACAGGCCTGAGTAAAACCTACAAGTCCCACCTCATGTCCACGGTCTGGAGTCCCCCGGCCACAGAGCCTTGTAATTGACCCACCATGGAAGTCAGTCTGGGATGCCCTCTGGGAAGTGGTGATGGCCATCCTTGCCATTGCACTCAGAGATTGGGTGTCTGGTGGCCGTCATAGGCTGTCCCATCCTGCACTGCTGGCACGGAGCTGTGTCCGAGCAGGGCATGCAAACTGTTGGGGCTGAACTATGCCTGTGTGTGGGATTTGGGTGTGGTGAGTTCTTGGGATCATCCCACCAGCTGTTTCCATTGCTCCAGCCTGAAGAGGACCGTGGGAGACTTGTGACAGGGACAGGCCCCTGCACCAGTGCACCTGTGAGAGAAGACGAAGGAAACTGTGTCTCCTGTCGCTCATGGACTTAGATCTCAACTTTTATAGGGAAGACACATCAGGCCAGTCCTGACCTGGGTATTTTAGCCACAATATCATACTTTCTCTTAAAGTTAACATTCAAAACTTTCTGTTCTGAAATGCAGCAAGAGTTCTCCAGGTATTAAATGCACGCATGTAGTATCACTACGGTTGTGAATTTTCAAGACAGGTGCTGATCCTTAGTCATTTTTAGTAACCTGGTTTTGAGTTAGGGCTCTGGGACAGGCTTTCAGAGTAAAGAGGAGGTATTCCTCATCGGTGGGTCCTTGGGAACTCATGTTCTGAAGTCATGTGACTACCAACTCCTCTGGCCATGCTGTCCTGGTATTGCTCTGAAATTACCCTATAGTTTGAGGTCAAGCCCCTGATCTTTGTTACACAAAGATGACACTTTGCCGAAATGTTCATGGAGCCATTTGACTTGCCCAGCTCACTGTGTGCTCTTCCACGTCACTTTGTTTTTATTGCTTCCTTACACACTCACATTTGGCTGCAGTTAATCTTCAGAGCATGGTGACTTAAGGTAAGTTCATCTGACCCTCGCAGGGTGCATTTTTATAAGGGTTCATGGTTTGGAGGGATTTTCCAGCAGTTTTGCTGATTTGTTTAGTTTTTTGTTCGTTTATATTTAACATGAAGACTAATGAAGACTAATATGACTAGGTATCTGTATTATGTAAGAATATTGCAACAATAAATCTGTATTTTTATTAAAAAAAAAAAAGAATTGAGGGTCAGATAAAGAGCTTCACAGACAAGAAAAAGCTAAAGGAGTTCATCACCACCAAACCAGTATTACATGAAATGTTGAAGGGTATTCTTTAAAAAGAGGAAGAAGAAAAAGATGAAAAATATGAACAATAAAAAGGCAATAAATACATATCTAATAAATCGAATGAACAGAATAAACTGGTGAATAAAATAGAATGAGAGGCATGGAAATGGAACAGACTGAGGATTCTCAGGAGGGAAGAGGGGTGGGGGGTGGGAAGAGACTAAACAAAGATCTTATATGCATACTAGAGGCCCAGTGCACGAATTCGTGCACCAGTGGAGTCCCTCAGCCTGGCCTGTGGGATCGGGCTGAAACTGGCTCTCCAACATCTCCTGAGGGGTCCCAGCTTGTGAGAGGGTGCAGGCCAGGCTGAGGGACCCCACTGGTGCACGATCAGGGCCGGGGAGGGATGTGGGAGGTTGGCCAGCCGGGGAGGGACCGCAGGAGGACTCCAGGGTGTGTCTGGCCTGTCTTGCTCAGTCCCAATTGGCCGGACCCCAGCAGCAAGCTAACCTACCAGTCAGACCGTCTGCCCCCTGGTGGTCAGTGCACATCATAGCGAGCGGTTGAATGGCCTTAGCATATCATTAGCATATTACACTTTGATTGGTTGAACAGCTGACAAGATGACTGGACACTTAGCACATTAGGCTTTTATTATATAGGACATGCATTACTGATGCTCACAGACATTAAGGTGGCGAAAGCCTGGGGTGGGGCGGGAATTGGGTGAAGGAGGGCAATGGGGAGAAAAAGAGGGACATCTGTAATACTCTCACCAAATAAAGATTTAAGAATTTTTTTAAAAAGGTGCTTTAGGGAAGAGGAGGAGGAATGAGGAGTAACGTCGGGTGGATTGGGGCAGTCTTTGGGGAGAACAGCTAGGAAGCTGCAGAGATGACCCAGCAGGAGTGAAGAGGACTCCTAACAAGCAGTGTGGCCCTTGGACCACTTCACCTCCCCATGCCTCTATTTCTTCATCTGTAAAATGGAGACAATAGTAACACTGTTAATTGTAGGATTAAATGAGTTAATGCATACAATGTGCTGAAATGGGGCTTGCCCAATTGTATGCATTCGCTAAGTGTTAGCTTTATTATTAGCAAAATATGAGAATGAGGTGTTCACAATGGAAATGCAGTTTAAAAAGCGACTCAGATGACACATGAAAAGAAGAAACTATAGCACCTTATGAATAACTATCCAATTATAGTGCATTTAAGGAAGGTTAAATACATTTAAAAAGTCTTATAAAGCCATAAAGGCAGTTCATTAAAAAATAAAAAGAAAGCAATCAATTATTTTCTTCACAATTATTTTATACACACGTGTGCACACACACACGTATATTTATTTAATTAAAAATTAATTTTATTTAATTTAATTTTTGTTAATCCTCACCTGAGGATATTTTTTCCAGTGATTTTTAGAGTGGAAGGGAGGGGGAGAGACAGAGAGAGAGAGAGAAACATTGATGTGAGAGAGACACATTGATTGGTTGCCTCTTGCACACACCTCGACCTGGGCCAGGGGTTGAGCCTGCAACCCAGTAAGCACCTTTGACTGGAACTGAACCTGTGACCCATCAGTCCACGGGCCAACGCTCCAATCGCTGAGGCAAACTGGCTAGGGCCACAAATGTGTATTTTAAGTCTCCAAGCTCATAGAGGCAGAACTCCCAGAGGCTCCCCATGGTGCCCGGAGGACAGCGCACTGTGGAATGGGGTCTGAGAGAGAGGAGATGCCTGGAGTGGGCCTCAGGGTTAGTGTAATGGTGGGACCATGTGCACTATAATTGGGTAGTACAAAATCAGAAGGCATATTTTTAATTAAAAGCAAGTAAATATTTTGTTAAATAAATTATTCTCACTCGCTGGCGGATTTGATAGAGATTTCTTGATAATATTTCTCGAATTTCATCCATTTCACCAGGTGTAAGCTTCCTTATTTTTTCTTCATGACAGTCACTGAAAGTTTAGAAAAAGAATGATTTACTGTTCAAAAATAGTCTTTCTTAAAGACAAAATATCATTATTTAAGAAGAATACTCTTAAGTAAGAATGACACAGGAATAATTCAACATTTTAAAATAATTTAAAATTCTAAAATTTTATCTCAGTGCAAGATCACTGAGGGCAGGTTACTCCGGCACAGGCTTCCCATCTGCTCATGTGATTGTTTTTAGGAAGTTAAACTATAGTGGCTTATAATGCCATCGCTTTATTATTTCTAATCCATCATAAAAAAGTAACACAGGATTGTTTTTTCCAACAGAAACTTAATTAGCCATATTTTGCTATCCTGGCCTGGGCTTTAAAAACATGTCATTAGATATGTTTGCAAAAACACTATTGATAATATTCATGAATATACAGTCCATCTTGTTTATTCAGGGATTCCAACAGATTCACCTACTTGGTAAAATGTACTTGGTAAACACACTGTCATACTTTGGGGACCTGCCCAGCCACTGGGGACCTGTGCAAAGTGGAGAAAAATTTGCGTTGATCGATGTGCAGGTTCCCAAATGAGGATGAAGGTAGCAGTGCTCTGCTTTCTGGTTTAGCTCTGGTCCTGTTAGAAACGGTCCTTCTCGTGGTCTATTTAGTGACAAGTTTTTGTAGTTCTGCGTTTTGTGATGGTGGTTTTGCTGTTTTAAAGGCCCCCACGCATAGTTCTGAAGCGGGCGGTATCCCATGTGCCTGGGGGCTGTGATGGCCTTCTGCGAAAGCAGTGCTCCGCAGGCTTCCTTCAAGCATGAGCTGTGGTGCCCTTGGCCGCAAGTTCAATGGCAATGAAACAACAGTATATTTCATAAGGCGTTTTCAAATGGAACCAAGTTATGCATTGATTGGATGATTAAAGCATTCTGACCAGAGGCGCCCAGGAACCTAACCCTATGTTTTTTCCCAGGAGCAATGGTTCAATGTTTGCAAATCAGCATGCAAGGGCAACTTTATAGAACTGTAAGTCCTGCAAACAACAGGAATTGACTATGTTTATATAGTTTTACTCTCACTCCCTCAATAAATTAAGAAAATAAATTAAGAATATTAAGCTGGCCGGTTAATATACATAAATGCATACAGAAGATGAGCCAAGGGCACACAAAATAAAGAAGGTAGTTCTCATATTATTTTAAATGTTGCTACTGTAAACCAAGGATAATGGTAATTACTGGGGTACAAACCTGCGCCCAATGGTAATGGGTACGCACAAAGGAATGAACAAAGAAACGCAAGGCTTCATCAACCTTTCCTGTATGTAGACGATTCGTTATTGCCTCCTTTGCTTAGAGGGTTTTTAAAGAAGCATCTTTTCAGACTGAGACGTTGTCAGGTAGCTGTCCAACTTTCTAGTTAGGTTTTTGGAGCAGCAAATTTAATTAACATAATTTTAAAGTTGAAATGAAAAAATTAGGTCAATAAATAACAATCTTTTTGGTGTCTGATTTTCTTTTTTCTTTCTTTTTGTTAATCCTCACCTGACAATATTTTTTCCATCAATTTCTAGAGAGAGAGGAAAGGAGGGGCAGAGACACAGAGAAAGAAACATTGATGTGAGAGAGACACATCGACTGGTTGCCTCCTGCTCAGCCCTGACCAGCACTGGGGAATGAGCCTGCAACAAAGGTACATGCCTTTGACGGGAATCGAACCCGGGACCCTTCAGGCCTTGCGTTGGCGCTCTAACCATTGAAGAACCCGGCTAGGGATGGTGTCTGATTTTCTTGTACGATGTTCCCACCAAGTTTTAAATAACATATGTTTGCATAAGTGTAGTGACAAGAGCACAACTACCTCCCTTGTTTACACTTAAAACACCCACCACAGTTCCGAATTTGTGTATTTTACTTGTGGTTCTGTCAAGTTTTGGTTCATATATTTGAGGCTGTTATATTTGTGTGCTAATTTAGACTTTTATGCCTTCTTATAGATTTGAAACTTTGTCATTATAAAATGTATTTCTTTATTTATAGCAATATTTTTGCATAATGTTTACATTTTATGGTAATGTGATTACACAAACTTTCTTTTGTTTAGTGCTTTAATGGTATAACTTTTCTCAACCTTTTATTTCTAGCCATCCTCTAACTTTACATATAAGTAGTATCTTTTATAAACAATATCTAGTGAGTTGTGTATTTTTATCCATTCTAATCATCTCTTCCTTTTAAATGAAGTTCATATTTAATGTAATTGGTGTTTAAGACTATTTTCTTACTATTTGCATTCTGTTTGTCCTATATGTTCTATGATTGTTTATTCTAGTTTGTTGCCCTTTTAGAATTTATTTTATTTTGTTATTTTATTTCTCTTCTATGTTGGCTTGTTACCTTCTTTAACTATTTTTTTAGTGGTTATCTGATATTATAATATTAATTATTGATTTATTAAAGTCCAAAATACATTTTTATTTTTACCACTTACTGAACAATGCAGGGATCAATATACCATTTACCTCCCTCTCAATTTATAAGCTATTATTGTTGTTAGTTTTAAGTCTGTATAGATTTAAAACCCCACAGACATTATTATTTTATGCAATTAATACTCATTTAATTTTACAGATATTTTCCATTCCCATTGTTTTAATTCCTCCCTTCGTCTGCAAGCTTTTCTATGAAACCCTTTATCATTGACTTCAATGTGATGATTTTCATCTGAAAATGTTTTTAACCTACTTTTTTTGAAGGGTGTTATAGCACAATATGAAACTCTAGGTTATAAGTTACTTTCTTTCAAAAATTTTAAGATAATGATGGTTTCCACTGTGTTTGTTGAAAAATAATTGTCAGTTTTTTTCTTTTTCTCAGTATGTTTAAATTTTCTCTTTGTGCTTTTGATCTTTAGCAGTTTTTACTGTCATATACCTGCATTTGGTTTTCTTTATATCTAATCTGCGTGGGGTTTGTCACATTTTATGTCTTTTATCTGTTTGGGGAAATTATTAGTCATTTTGTCTTAAAATATTGCTTTAACCAATTTTTCTCTCACTTCCTTTTGGAACTTTTGAAAGTTCTTCCATATGTGTTTCTTACTTTCTTTTCCACATTTTTCATCCTTTTTTTTTTTTTTTTTTACTTTGTGCTTCATTCTGGTTTTCTTTTCTCCTATCTCCCAATTTATCAATTATCTCTTCAGCTGTATCTAACCTGTGTTTACACCTGTCAAATGAGATCTTAAATTTAGTTGCTTTATTTTTAGCTAAAATATTCCCCTAAGATGTTTTTATTCATGTAATCTCCATGACAATGCCAAAAATATCAATGGTCTTTTCTTTTTTAGGCTTATTATATTTTATTTTAAAGCCCATGCTTTTAAAATATATTTTTATTTATATCAGAGAGGATGGGAGAGGGAGAGATAGAAACATCAATGATGAGAATCATGGATCGGCTGCCTCCTTGGGATCGAGCCTGCAACTTGGGCATGAGCCCTTGACCGGAATCAAACCGAGGACCCTTCAGTCTGCAGGCAGATGCTCTATTCACTGAGCCAAACCAGCCAGGGCTAAAGTCCATGTTTGATAACTCAATTATCTGAATCCCCCTTTTACCTGTTACTATTCTGTTTTTATCTTTTTCTCAATGTTTTCAGTCACATTTCCTTGTCTACTCATTTTCTTTTGATTGGTTGCTAAACATTAAATATGAAAACTCATAGAGGCAGTTTAAGGCTTTTCATGCTCTTATTTTTTCCAAAGAATAGTTACATTCCCTTCCCTAAAGCAACTGGGAGAGGGGGAATATCAAGCTCAAGTGGCAAACAGCGGTGGATCAAGATGACCCTGGACTGGACTTCTTTGATTGGAGGTTAAGGTGCAGGCTGTGAGGTTAACACCTACGGCTGGATACCCAAGCTCCTCCCCCTTGTGGGCCCTGAATTCCCGTCTTATCTCTATGACCCATCCGTCTGTCAAAACCTCTGTTCTAACCTTTTGGACTCAGACACCTTCTCTGTGACCCAGGAGGAAAATAGCGCCTACTGCCGGCTCCATCTTCTTGGTTCCCTTTTCTCGTGACTTGGCTGAAAACGTTCCCCCCATGCTGGTATTTCCCTGCTTAAAAGCAGACTTTAAAAATATATTTTGTCCTCTTTTTCTAGTTATTCTCAGAAGCTGGTTTGGTCTGTAGCACTCAGTCCATTATGATTAGAAATAGGATTCCTTATTATCTCCCCTTCTGCTTCTCCTCTCTAGATAAAACACGTTGGGAGAGGTGGAGTGGTCCATACAGCACTCATTCAGCCAACTCTGCAGCGGCCATTCATTCTGCTGCCGAGTTCCCTAGTCCTAGACACTTGCCTTTACCTACTACCAACTGCAAAATGAACTGTAAACAGAGAACAGAGAGTAGAACTGAGAATTCTCTCTTCTGTGCTCACAGAGACAATGGCTCTCCCTTGAGAAGCTGGCTAATTGAATCATCCTTTCTTTCAGCTGCAAATGGAATGGTGCCTAAGAAAGATCTTGAAATTGTAAAGCTAGAGGGACACTTAAGGATCAGTGTAGCTCCATTTTCTACTTGGAAATCTCAATCTCAGGGCAATAAATGGACCAACGTAAGGGCACACAGCGTTCTCTGCTGAGAAGTCAGTCATTCCGCTCAGATCACTACTGTTTATGACACAGCATGATGCCTTGACCTCCAAGCCATCCTGGTCACTGCTTCTTTTCATTCTGGCTGCATAAACTCCCATAATTTTCATAGGAGACTTGGAGTCCTATGAAATCGTGGTTTATGTGGTTGTGTGTGATTTGAAGCTTCCTCTCTCATGTAAATGCTCCCACTGTTAGAATTTTATTTAGGTGACATTTAGTTTAAATGAGCTTCAAGCTCATCAGTGCAAGAAGAAAGCAGTAGAGCTGTCCTTCTGTTCTGCTATAATTTTGCTGTAAGACGTTGGGTTTTATATGTAAATCACTTCACAATTCTGAGTATTCATTTCCTCTGCTTTACTTTTTTAAAATATATTTTTATTGATTTCAGAGAGGAAGGGAGAGGGAGAGAGAGATAGAAACATCAATGATAAGAGAGAATCATTGATTGGCTGCCTCCTGCACAACCTACACTGGGGATCAAGCCAGTAATCTGGGCATGTGCCCTGACCGGGAATCGAACCCTAACCTCCTGGTTCCTAGGTTGACGCTCAACCACTGAGCCATGCCAGCTGGGCTCTTCTGTTTTAAAATTAAGGAGACACACTAGGTCAGTGGATCTCAGTCCCACTTAAATTAGAAACATCTGAAGGGCTTATAAAGCCACCTGTCCCTGGTCCTTGGCCCCAGAGATCCTGACCCTGTTGGTCTGGGTGGGCCCAGTAGCTCTGGGAGTTCCTGCTCCCAACCTGTTTCTAACAGGCACCTGGATTAAGAAACACTGCAGCAGAAATCACCAAACTAATGTCCTTTCTGGCCTTAAATTATGGCACTGTGCCATCTCCAAGGAAATCTTCTATATATATAAAAGCCTAAGCAACCGGCCCACTGGCTGACTGGCCAGTAGCTATGACACACACTGACCACCAGGGGGCAGATGCTCAATGTAGGAGCTGCTCAGCTGTGGTGACTTGGCAGCTGTGGTTCTCGGGTGACGCACCCGGAACCAGAGAGGAGGGATCCTGATTCCAGGGTGCCAAGAACTGACCTCTCGCAATCCGGGACCCCTTGGGGGATGTCAGAGAGCCAGTTTCAGCCCGATCCCTGCAGGCCAGGTGTGCACCAGGCCTTTAGTAGCTAAATAACTTCCTGCAAATAGAACACACTTTAAAGTATTCCACTGCAGAATGCCTGCTGAAGAGACTTTAAGTTACTTTCCAAAGCACTGAATTTCCCAGAGCAAATATAAGAAAGGCACAGCCACCCTACACATGACAAGGCATCTTCTGAATAGTCGATTTTAAAGTAACAGACCGTGATGAAACATGACATGACCTGACGTAATACAGCATAAGATACACATTTCTACACTTTCACTTTTAAGCAGAATCGCATTCTTCTGAGAGATCTGAAGGTACCTCTAGGACACAGGGTGAATTTGTTATTATTACTGGCTTCACAAACCCTACAGCTAACTGTAACGACATACTCCGAGATGCCAGCTTTTATCTGTGAACGGTGCTTACTTCAGAGACGCAAACGAAGGCCCCGCGCTCCTCAGCCCGGTCTCCGCCATCTCGATGGCGTGCTTGATCTCCAGCTTTTTATACAAGGACACGATGCTCGACTTGGGCTGGTTTTCCCGAATCAAAAGCTTCCGCAGGTATTTGTCATCAAACTTTTTAAACCTGGAAATAAAGAAAATCAAAGCTTTGATTAACTAATGCTACCTACACCAAGCATGTCAAACTTGCGGGCCACATCCGAATGCAGCCCGCAATGAATATTTTTGCAGCCCAGCCAATATAATGGTATGTAAGAAATGTTTTAATAAAAATTTTGTAACTTAATTTTTACGATAATTAAACATAATTATTAATAACGAACTACAATGTTCGCTAATGACTGATTACTATCATCGTGTTGCATTCATTTCCCTTATGCACAGGTGCACCATTTCTCTCCACTAACACTAGTGGGGAATATTTCAGCAGCCAATGGCCATGTCATTAGTCTTGTACTGACTGGTTTGGTGTGCACAACAGGAAATATTTCGCTTTTGGAGAAAAGAAAAGTACAATTTAATTATACATTATAATTATTTTTAAATGTGCATACCTGAATACATATGTACATAAAATATGGATACATGCAAATAAAAAAATATATAGCACATATTGATACATGAATCTAATGCAGCCGTGGGCAAACTACGGCCCATGGGCCGGATCCGGCCTGTTTGAAATGAATAAAACTAAAAAAAAAAAAAAGACCGAACCCTTTTATGTAATGATGTTTACTTTGAATTTATATTAGTTCACACAGACACTCCATCCATGCTTTTGTTCCGGCCCTCCGGTCCAGTTTAAGAACCCATTGTGGCCCTCGAGTCAAAAAGTTTGCCCACTCCTGATCTAATGTGTATTTCTACATTTCCTATTACTCTGCTTCTCTTTTCGGCAAAATTATTCAAAAGTGTTGTTAATATTCTGTGTCTACAGTTCCTCTCCTTTAATTTTCTCTTGAAAATTCAGGCTTTTCCCTCTAATACTCCATCCCAACTACTCATTTTGAAGTAACCAGTGATCCCCCGACAACATAAATCCAGTGGCCAATTACTCAGTTCTCAGCTTTTCTGACCTCTCCTGTTTAAAACAGCATCTTCTGGGAAACACTGCTCTGGGTCCCTGCCTACCTCTTCCTCAACCACTTTTTAAAATTCCTTTTCTTCCTCCGTCCTCTTCAGCAGGAGGCCCCTGGTTCTGCCTCTGTCCTCTTCTCTTCCTCCACGCACTCTCCTGGTGAACTGGCCCAGTTGCACGGATTTTAATACATCTCTATGCCAGTGACTCTCAAATTTGTATCTACAGCTCCAGCCTCTCTCCCAAACCCAGAAATAAATATTCAGCGGCCAAATCAACATCTCCACATGGCTATCGAGTAGACATCTCCAACTCCATGTGCTCAAGCTGGGCTCGTCTCCCCTGTAACCCTCCCATTTCTGTTAATGGGAACTCCACCAGGTCAGAACCCTGATGTTATCTTTGATTCTTCTCCTTCTCTCATGTTCCATGTTATGACTGAACTAGAGGCCTGGTGCACAAAAATTTGTGCACTTAGGGGGGTCCCTCAGCCCGGCCTATGCCCTCTCGCAGTCTGGGACCCATCGGAGGATGTCCACCTGCTGGCTTAAGCTCACTCCCTGGGGGGATCGGGCCCAAGCTGGCAGTCAGATATCCCTCTGGCAGCCCGGCAGCCCTAGGGGGATGTCCACTTACCAGCAGGGAGCAGACCTAAGCTGCAGTCGGACATCCTTAGTGCTTCTGAGGAGGCGGGAGAGGCTCCCACCACCACCACTGTGCTGGCAGCCATCAGCCTGGCTTGTGGCTGAGCAGAGCTCCCCCTGTGGGAGCACACTGACCACCAGGGGACAGCTCCTGCATTGAGCATCTGCCCCCTGGTGGTCAGTGTGTGTCATAGTGACCAGTCATTCCCAGTCATTCTGCTGTTAGGGTCAATTTGCATATTACCCTTTTATTATATAGGATAGAGGCCTGGTGCACGGGTGGGGGCCAGCTGGTTTGCCCTGAAGGGTGTCCCGGATCAGGGTGGGGTCCCACTGGTGTGCCTGGCCAGCCTGGGTGAGGGGCTGATGGCTGTTTGCAGGCTGGTCATACCCCCTTCAGGGTGGGGGTCCCCACTGGGATGCCTGGCCAGCCTGGGTGAGGGGCTGATGGTTGTTTGCAGGCTGGTCAACCACCCCCCCCCCCCATGGAGGTTTGGCCAGCCTGGGTGAGGGGCTGATGGCTGATTTCAGGCTGGCCATACCCCCTTTAGGGTTGGGGGTCCCCACTGGGGTGCCTGGCCAGTCTGGGTGAGTGGCTGAGGGCCGTTTTCAGGCTGGCCAAGCCCCCCGGCGACTGAAGCTCCCAGCCTCTCCTTTTTTTCTTTTTATTATGGGATTTATTTACCTTCTATAATTGAAACTTTGTAGCCTTGAGTGAAGCTCAGAGCCAGCCGCGGCAGGCAGGAAGCTTGGCTTCCTCCATCGCCAGGGGCAACCCAAGCCTCCTGCTCGCTCCAGCTCCGTGGCCACGGCCAGCTGAAAGCAGGTATCTGGGGTTTATTTGTCTTCTATAATTGAAACTTTGTTGCCTTGAGTGGAGCTTAGAGCCGGCTGCGGCAGGCGGGAAGCTTGGCTTCCTCCATCACTGGGCAACCAAGCCTCCTGCTCGCTGACATCTTGGTTGGGTTAATTTGCATATAGTCTCTCTGATTGGCTGGTGGGCATGGCTTAAGGTGTAGCGAAGGTACAATCAATTTGCATGTTTATCTTTTATTAGTGTAGATGGTGTCCATCTAAAAATTTCTATGTTGAAGCCAGAATCCCAGTCCCTCAGAATGTAGCCATATGTGGAGAGAGGCGTGATTACATGGAAATGAGGTCACTCGAGTGGGCCTGAGTCCAATATAACGTGATTGTGTAATAAGAGAAAATGTGGACAGACACGCACAGAGGAAAGATGCCATGAAGAGGCAGAAAGAGAAGGCCGTCTGCAAGACAAGGAGAGAGGCTTGTGATAGGCCCTTCCCTCATGGCCCTCAGAAGGAACAACATCTACCAGCACTTTGACCTTGGACTTCGAGCCCACAGAACTGAGAAAATAAACTGCTATTGTTTAAGCCACCGCAATGGTGGTACTTTGTTACAATACCTCTGGCAATGAGTACTCTGTCCACCTGATCAGCAGTTTGTCTTGGTGCCAAAATACCCACAAAACCCAGCAGTTCCTCACCACTTCTACTGCTATCATCACGTCCAAGACATTGTTATCTCTCCATGAATTCTTGCAACGGGCACCTGACTGGTCTCCCTGCTCCCACCACCGCATTCCTACAGCTCATCCTTGACACAGAAGGCGGAGTGATCCTGTTAAAACATATGTCAAACAAAGAGACTCCCCTGCATCTCACCTGAGGAAAAGCAGTGACCTGGAGGCCCTCCACAGCCTGGAGCTGCACCGCTAGTGCTCCTCTCACCTGGGTGCCTCCGCCTTCCTGCTTTACTGGTGTCCTTCCTGGTGTCCTTCCTGGTGTCCTTGCTGGTGTCCTTGGTGGTCTCCTTCCTGGTGTCCTTCCTGGTGTCCTTCCTGGTGTCCTTGTTGGTGTCCTTGCTGGTCTCCTTCCTGGTGTCCTTCCTGGTGTCCTTCCTGGTGTCCTTCCTGGTGTCCTTCCTGGTGTCCTTCCTGGAGTCCTTGTTGGTGTCTTCCTGGTCTCCTTCCTGGTCTCCTTCCTGGTGTCCTTCCTGGTGTCCTTGTTGGTGTCCTGGCTGGTCTCCTTCCTGGTGTCCTTCCTGGTGTCCTTGTTGGTGTCCTTCCTGGTGTCCTTCCTGGTGTCCTTGTTGGTGTCCTTCCTGGTCTCCTTCTTGGTGTCCTTCCTGGTGTCCTTGTTGGTGTCCTTCCTGGTGTCCTTCCTGGTGTCCTTGCTGGTGTCCTTCCCAGT